ATGGAGAGTCCCCACAAGGATAGCTGACCAGACTGTGTGTGTGTGTGTGTGTGTGTGTGTGTGTGTGTGTGTGTGTGTGTGTGTGTGTGTGTGTGCATGTTTGTATGGTTTATGAGGACACAAATTTGTATAATAACATGGGTATGACATACGTATTACAACGAGAATGTGATTTATGAGGACATTTTCAGTGTCCCCGTAATTCAAAAGTCTTATAAATAATTCAGAATTAGTTTTTTTGAAAATCAAAAAATGCAGAAAGTTTCCTGTGAGGGGTAGGTTTAGGGGTAGGGTTGGTGTAGGGCAATAGAATATACGGTTTGTATAGTATAAAAACCATTACGCCTACGGAGAGTCCCCATAAACCATAAAAACAAACCTGTATGTGTGTGTGTGTTTTAATTTAAAAAAAAATTATATGAGATTGAGATCTTGTGCATGTGTGTACTTACAAAACATAGGCCTATATTGACCTAATATTTAAACCAGTGTCCTAAAAAGTTTATTTGATGTTTAATTTGTAGTTATTTGCAGGATTTTGAAATAATTAGACTTCACTATGGATGGCAACAAAGCATGATGCTGCAAAAATCATAACCAAATGACAGACAAATGTCCTGCTGAATTTTAAGGCTGGTTAGGACAAAAACTTTAAATCAATAAATAAATTAATAAATAAATAAGCTTTATTATTATTGTTGTGCAGTAATGATGGAATTGTTCAAAAGTTTTAGTCAAGCCTTGTATGTCTTTACAGAAATAACTTTTAAATTACTTAAAATAAGTCTAAAGTATTCACTGATAGCTCGTAATTAAATTTAAGAAAAATGTTAATTTAAAAAAAATGTATATGAGATTGAGATCTTGTGCATGTGTGTACTTACAATACATAGGCCTATATTGACCTAATATTTAAACCAGTGTCCTAAAAAGTTTATTTGATGTTTAATTTGTAGTTATTTGCAGGATTTTGAAATAATTAGACTTCACTATGGATGGCAACAAAGCATGATGCTGCAAAAATCATAACCAAATGACAGACAAATGTCCTGCTGAATTTTAAGGCTGGTTAGGACAAAAACTTTAAATCAATAAATAAATTAATAAATAAATAAGCTTTATTATTATTGTTGTGCAGTAATGATGGAATTGTTCAAAAGTTTTAGTCAAGCCTTGTATGTCTTTACAGAAATAACTTTTAAATTACTTAAAATAAGTCTAAAGTATTCACTGATAGCTCGTAATTAAATTTAAGAAAAATGAATAAAAAAAAAGCTTTTCATGTTCTTTTTATTATAAATAAAATAATACAGTATTCAAAAATATCAGAGAAATATCGCTGTGCTAAACTTATTGGACCTTTTCTGATGAAGTACAGAAAAGCCTCAATTCAACTGGGTTCATTGTTGTTTTGCTCCACGATTTGCAGCAATTCATGTAATCTGATTCCCCAAGAATAACATAATTTGTGTGCTTGTTGACAATGCACTGAACAGAAAAATGAGGATGAGAAAATAAGATCAGGAAATTGTTTGTTTATTATAATAATGTCCATAGTGACAAATCTGATTGAACACTTGCACATTGTCAGAAATACATATTAATCATTTATAAGAAGAGATTGCAGAATTTTTGTAAAAAGAAAAGTTATGTTATTTACGTTAAACTCGGGTTGACTGTGAATTGTCTTCACAAAGACAATATGTTAAACGTAGTAATGGTTCTCACGGAGTCCTCAAGTCTCATTTGTAACCAAGGATGCTAATCAAGAATTCTCATACACTTTGTTCTTCTAGACTTCTTCTAAGTGCTGCCCTCAGCCTTCAGAATAGATACAATGACTATTGTCATATAGAGGTGTGTGATAATTGAATTAGATGCTCCGTATGGTAAAGACTATAGATACAGAGAGGTCATAAAGCTAGACATGCCTCCACATCCTGCTCAGCACAAGGTTTTCAGCTTTGACCAACCTGAGAGGCAGATGGCCTGTTGGGCTTCAGAACAATACAGCCTGATTGGATGGATCTGCTTAACACATTGCGCTTTTCAGAGCACACAGACAGAGGTCTCATCCACTGTGGTGGTCTTTCATCATGTCAGAATGTAACTTCTTGAGATAGGCTGTAAGCATTCTTTCAGGACAAGGAGAAAGAAAAGAAGACGGATGAACAAAGGGACTGTGACTGAAATGTACTGAAGGGTTTTTGTCGGAGTCATGCATTCATGGAACAGATATACAATATGATGCAAAATAGTGCTCAAGATTGTATTTATAAAGCGACTTGTGTGTATGCCGGAGCAAATATATATGCCTACAACTATTTGCTAATGCACAGCATCAATTACAATAGCAGTAACAATAGCATTACCAAAATAAAAAAGTAAGAGAGAAAGAAAGAAAAAGAAAAAAACAATAAAGAGAGATTAGCATGAGCATGAGCTTTGTGTTTTTATTTTTGTACCATACATCTTTAGTAGATTTTCAGCTAAAATTCTGTATTGTCCCAGAACAAATATAGGCCTACTCTTAAATGTTTCTTTTTTTATTTGCATTATATTTATTTTCCAAACAGTTAAACCTTTGATTGGCCATATATATATATATATATATATATATATATATGACTACTATATATATAGTAGTCATATTGACACAAATACTGTATAGTATGTCAAGATATGTCACACCAGTGATGAGGCACAAGAAAAAAATTGATGTCACTGATGTCAGACTTGATATGTCTTAAAGCATCATATTTAAATTAACTCAAATTATTCATTTTGTCCTCCATCGACTCAAAAATAGTCATACGAGTTTGAAAGATTTGTGAACAATTACTGTAGATAGAAATTAGGTAGGCCTTCCCTGGGTTACTTTAAAATTTTGATTATGTAGTTTTGAACTAAACTTACTCCTTTTTTGTTAGTCAGCACAGGACTTGGTATTTGTTGGTGGAACGGAATGGTGGCATGCTAAAACAATTGTGAGTAACCATGGACCCCAGGTTGTGTAAGCTGAGCCCTAAAGGGCCATTAGAGGACCTTAACCCATAACTCCTCTGCGCAAACTTGTCTGCACCCCTTTTTAACCAGTCAAAGTCATTTTTTATGATTGTTTTCTTGTTGGGAACAGGAGGCCAGACAAAGCAGATGCAATGAAAAACACCCCAACTGCTCCCATACACTGCTCATCCCAATAAGCAGCGGGTGCCATGACCTGTCATCACTCTTGCTCACCCATTCATGATTTACACACTCTGTCCCTTTGGGTTTAAAAACTCACACTAATCCTTCAGGGATGGCCATTTGAACCGCCGTGGAATCTGCCCAAAGAGAGGGAGGATAAAACCGAAATCCAAGACAGACAGACCCACAAAACTG